AAGTAGATTATCAGTCTCAGAGAAACGTTCTCTAGCTGATATGTCAGATAGAATAGATAATTTATCCGGTATGTTAAGACAATTAACTTCAGGATAAAAAAATCATACTAGATAACGAAACTACATTTGTTATAATATAGCAAACACGAAAGAACATTCGTTATTTAAAACAAGGGTGTTTTTGACATTCTATTTGTAATATTTTATACAAAAAGCAAAAAGAAAATATAGGGTCATTTAAACAAAAAAGACCTTTGACTAGGTCATTTAAATGAAGAGCCCCTCTAATTAGATTTTCGTAAACTTCATTTTCCGCGAATAATTATGATTTAAATTTAATGCGGTAATTTTCACCCGGGCCCTAGGTGTAGAGATGTTAAAGGGGCGGCCCGTTTAGCCCGAAAAAAAAAATTAGGGTTCTTTATTATTTGTCCGTTTAAATCATGACCTTTTAGGCTCGGCCTATTTAGCCCGAAACTGCTAGGGTTAGCCCGTTTAACTTATTGGGCAATGTAAATGTTTGCAGCACGTAAATAATATACCTCAAGATTCCTTATATATTATTTTTTTTTATTTATTTTACTTCACATGTATGTATAAGTTGTAACGAGTTATTATATATGATTTTGAAAGATACTTTTAACAATTTTGTTATTCTAATTCACAACAAAATATTTAAGTCAACCATAACGGCTAATAGAAAGCACAATAGATAAAGAAGTGATTTAATATAAATTCAACAATATGATGCAATATCGTGAAAATTCTCAAAAGTACAAAATAAGTAGTAAAATGGTAATTATAAGTAATAGTTCGAACTTTTTTTTATTATAAGTAATAGTTCGAACATTTTTTTCTTTCTTTTGATAAAAAAATATGCTATTTAACAGTTTGTAATGTGTATTCATACATGAAGTGTAGCTGTATATATAGAGTGGTAATACTAAATAGCCGTTGAAAGTAGTCGTTAACTAACAGTTGTAATTTATAATATATAATATATATATATATATTTATTTTTGATATATTATAATTATTATTGTTCGTATAGCCCGTTTAGCCCGAAGTCCGCCAGGGTTAGGATTAGGGTTATGCCCCTTTGTTAGTAGTCCGTTTAAATTCAGGCTTCTTAAGCCCGGACCAGAAACCCGTTAAGGCTAGCCCAAAAACTAGCCTGTTTAATATCTCTACGTGACTGTATGGACTTTATTGAGATGTCTGCCTGTACACAACTAATTCTCTGGCTTACAGGCCCAACTTGGTGAGTATATATTTTAGAGTGGATTGGGCAACAAAACGATTTATTTATTTATTTATTTGGCGAATTTTCATGTATACTGTGTGATTTGGAAAAGAAATGGAATTTTATGATGGAGCAAATTTTATTTGCATCTTTACAAATTTCATGTCAATTAATTGCAAAGATGCACTAGATCATGAGATTTTCAGTTACCAAATAAAAACGCAACTGCCTTCTCATTAAATGCCGCAGATTATGGGATTTTTAGTTCTCAGGTGTTTTGTAAGGACGACGTTTTGAATGACAGTATATTTAGCGTTTATAGTCAGTATATATTCAGTATATAACCTATAGCGATAGTCAGTATATATTCAGTATATAACCTAATACGTTTTTTATTTACAAACATTTTTATCTAACCAAAATTGTGATGTTTGAATTTTTGTTTCACTATATAACATGTCATATATATATCATAAACACATCATAATAATTATATAAATAAACTATTTTAGTATATGTAGAGTACATGATACAAATACACGCAACATATACTGCCGACACTCACCATATACTAAAAATATACTGCCTATACACACAACATATACTGCCGATATCTCCATGAGCCCGAGCTTCGGGCCTCGTCTTCGTCAACAATAAACTTTATTATCTTCTCGTTTGATGGTTATAAATGTACATAATAAAATTTTGTCGTAATCCAATTTATGTAATTTGTCATATTTATAAAAATTATATTGTTAGCGATTTATTTGGGTTATAATAACTCGACGAATATTCCACGAAGTTGGGTTTCTAAGTTTTGATTTGTAAGTTAAGGTTTTTCTTCTGTATCAACATGGTTCTCATATAGTGTTGTTAAATTAAACGAGTTCGGCTCAATTCGACTTGTTTGATAAACAAGCCAAGCACGAACTCATTTAAAGCGAGCTCGGCTTGATAAGACTCGTAAATATTTTTTTATATAATTTTCTATAATTCGGCTCGTTAAGCTCGCGATTTGCTCGTTAAGGCTCGAACTCCGCTTGTAATTAGTGATAAATGAGTTGAACTTGAGCTCTATTTCAGGCTCATCTATTTAACGAGCTGAACTCAACTCAGCTCGTTAAGGGCTCGAACACGAGCTAGAGCTCCTTAAGCTCGAGCTCGAGCATCTTAAGCTCGAGCTCAACTTGACTCGTTTACAAGTTTATTCCTAAATGATTTTGTCCCGATTTTAAATTAATACACGTTTGAGATAGTGTTCAACCGGCACCGTTTTTCAACCGGTTCATAAAATCAGAATAGGGGCAACCAAATCTATATCCACCTTTAGCCTATGTTTGGTTCAAAGGATGGAAGGGGAGGGGAGGGAATTTAATGGAAGGGAGGGGAGGGAAGGGAAAAGGAGGAAAAGTAATTTTACTTTGTTTGGAGGCATTTTGTAGGAGGAGAGGTGGAGAAAAATGATTAACCTTGTTTGGTTTGAAGATGAATGGGGAGGGAAAATAAAATTATATGGACAAATATACCCTTATTTATTATGTAATATTATATTTACAAGATATGAATTGAGGGGTAAATTAGTACCATTACACACATTCTTTTCCTTCCCCTCCAAATTCTCCCAAAATTGGAGGGGAGCAGATTTTCCGTCCACAGTGAATTTGAGGGGAAAATCTCATCCTTTTCCCTCCCACAAAATATTGAACCAAACAGGAAAAATTTTAAGTTTCCCTCACCTCCCTTTCCCTCCTCTCTGATTCCCTCCAACCAAACAATATGTTATTTTAGAGTATCAAAATTGGTTCGGGGGAGCCCGGTTCAAGTAAAGAACCCGTTCGAATCAAAATGAAAGGGCGCAACCAGGCCGATTTAACCCTGACCAAATGCAAAACCCTAGATAGGCAGCTCTCACTTTTTCCCTTTTATCACATCTCACTCTCTTCAAAAGCACACTTCACACAGCCGGCGTTAGATTTCACAGCCGACAGGCTTGCAGGAAAAGCGGCGGAGAACGATGAGTAAAGGCGCGGCGGCGGCGAAAGGCGGTAAGAAGAAGGGTGTGAGCTTCGTGATTGACTGCTCGAAGCCGGTGGAGGATAAGATCATGGAGATCGCCTCGCTCGAGAAGTTCCTTCAGGAGAGAATCAAGGTCGGCGGGAAAGCCGGCGCTCTCGGCGAGTCGGTGACCATCTCCCGTGATAAGAACAAGATCACCGTCACCGCTGATTCGAACTTCTCCAAAAGGTGGTGAAATTTCGTGCTTGTTTTCTTTGAATTCGCGTTTTTTATGGGGAGCCCCTATGTGTTTGTATCTGCTGGTGTTTTTTGCTCAAGCCTTTCTGTTTTTTACTTGTTTGTTGGTAATTTTGGGTTGCATTATATGTTATGTGTGGCTTTGTAGTAGCTCATCACGTAGGTTGAAGACTTGAATGTGTTTCATTTGGGTGATTATATTCGCTATTAGAGTATTAGCAAGGTTGGTGTTGAGCATGTATAATGATTATTGGGTAGGTAGTCATACATTTTCAGTTATGTATGCTTTCAAATTGAAATGTCATGGAACAACATAAACAAAAGTATGACATTTCATAGTATAAGTGCACATTTTTGTTAGAAAATGTGTAACGGGCTGGGTTTAGACCGACTCATACAAGAATCTGGTGTGGTTTTTTAGTTCATTTGAATATCGTTTTTAGAGAGAGGGGTTGAGGAGAAACAAAATAAATAAGAGTGGATTTAGTCACACTTGACAAAAGGAAGTGCTATACGAAAAAATGCATATCCTTGGTAATGCAAGATCTTAAAAGTATTTGTTGTGATTTCTATGGCCCAGTTTGTCCAATATTGCCTTGTTGCATGTAGTCCTATGCTTTGTCCGTTGATGGTTTCTGATTAACGGCGCAATAGCCTTGAGCTGATTGATGAAGTTTCACTACCTCTACCTGTTTTGGTTTGAACATGAAAATTGAAATGCGAAATTTGAAAATTTTGTGAGTTTTAAGAATGCTGAATGCCGAATGCTGATTTTGCCAGTTTACTTGATAAATGCTTGTTATCTCGTGTTGAATCATGGGGGAAGTGATGAATATAGATAAGAGAGGGGTATTTCCTCATTCAAAAAGAAAAGAACAAGGGAAATGTATGGAAAAGGGTATGCATTTTGCCTTGTTTTCCCGTGTGCCTATATTCAAATTTTTGCTTTGTTCTTATTAGGTACCTCAAGTATTTGACCAAGAAATACTTGAAGAAGCATAACGTTAGGGATTGGCTTCGGGTGATTGCTGCAAACAAAGAGCGCAATGTTTATGAACTACACTACTTCAACATTGCCGAGCAAGAGGGAGAGGAAGAGGACTAAGTTTTTCATCATCTTTTCATGTTTCCTTTCAGTTTGCCTCCATTTTGTCAAATTTGCCTGCTTGGATTTATTTATGAGATTGCAGTTTTGGTTAACGAGACGTTTTGTGTTGCACTCTTTAGTCACAAAAACATTTACTCCAGCGGCAATAGGTTGTGGATTTCTCTTTCCGAGCATCTTTTTCATCGTGCAAATCGTTCTTAATCAATTATACTGTTTTTAACTCGTTCTTTGCTCCGTGTTTGTATGTGACACATTTATTATATGGATAATTTGCATGTCACAAGAATCAAATTAGGTTTTATACTCATAATAAACCATATCGAGTATGATATTGCTTGGAAAGTCATCCGCTTGTGATCAATATAGAATTAGGTTTAGAACATGTACTATTACTTTCAGATTTTCTTATAAAATTGTCCGGGTTAGTTAAGATTTGGATGTGATCCCATGGAGGTTTTGATCGTCTGATCTGTGTTCCTTTTGATGTGCTCCCATGGAGGCTTTAGGCCGTGCCTGTTTTTAAAGAAATTGGAAAAATAACTGGTTTTTTTACTAGTTTTTTGTGTTAATTAATGTTTATTGAAAAAAAGTTAATATGGTTAGGTGTTATGCGATTTTAAGTTTGTATTAAAATAATATTTAAAATAAAATAATTAAAATTAATTTGATTTAAAAATACGAGATGAATGATTAGAAATGGTAGGTAGCTAAAATTATATGAGTGGATTAATAATGAATTAAAATTAATTGAGATTGAGTAAAAATTATAAGTTAAAGTTTTAGTAGTATAAATTATATTTTTATGAGTGGAATGAACTTTTTGAAGAGCCAATTTATCCATTCGTTAATTATTAATTTCCGCCAAACATTAATCAATTATCGAAAAGTATATACAAATATTATATAATCTTTGAATATTAACCAAAACAAAAATCATTAAGGATATCAATGTACCTGGCCGACAATATCCCACGTCCCTATTGCTGTTCAAAGGCTTTGATATATGAAAATTGATCCGAAGTGACAAACTACGTAAGACGTATAACGATAGCGACTTATGTGGTTAAGCAGATGGTCGTCGCAACTCGCAATAAAGACTAAATGAAACGTGTTTCATGGTCTCAATAAGTGTGTTTT